TTTCATTTTTAGATCCTTCGATTTGCTATATAGTTCCTGCTACAGGGGTTGGTCCATTCATTCATTTAACAATACTTGTTGAACATCTGTAATGTGCAAGGCACTGGGAATACATCAGTGAATAAAACAGACAAAAATCCCTGCTCTCATGGAGTTTATATTCTAGTGGGGGAGACAGTCAGTAAACATAATAAACCCATTGGATAGTATATATATATTTTTTATTAATTAATTAATTAATTAATTTAGGCTGCGTTTGGCCTTTGTTGCTGCGCGGGGCTTTCTCTAGTTGTGGTGAACGGGCTACTTTCGTTGCAGTGCACGGGCTTCTAATTGCGGTGGCTCCTCTTGTTGTGGAACACGGAATCTAGGCGCGTGGGCTTCAGTAGTTGTGGCACGCGGGCTCTAGAGCACAAGCTCAGTAGTTGTGGCGCACGGGCTTAGTTGCTCCGCGGTATGTGGGATCTTCCCGGACCAGGGCTCGAACCCGCATCCCCTGCATTGGCAGGCGGATTCCTAACCACTGTGCCACCAGGGAAGTCCTAGATAGTATATTAGGAGAGGTCAATTCCTAAGAAGGAAAAATAGGAAAAGGGTTTGGGGAGGATGAGAATGGGGGTAGGGGTTGCAATTTATTTATTTATTTAAACAATTTTATTGAAATATAGTTGATTTACAATGTTGTGTTTCATTTCTGCTGTACAGCAAAGTGACTCATTTACAGATATATATATTTTTTCATATTCTTTTCCGCTATGGTTTATCACAGGGGTTGCAATTTAAAAATAGGATGGTCAGTGAATGCCTCACTAAAAAGGGAATGTTTGATCAATATTTGAACAAAGACTTGAAGGAAGTGAGAGAATGACCCTGGTAGATATCTGGGGGAAGAAATTACCAGGAGGAGTTAACAGTGAATGCAAAGGCTCTGAGGTGGGCATGTGCCTTGCATATTCAAGAAATAGCCAACGTAACTGAATGAAGTAAGCAAGAGAGAAAACAGTATGAGATGTAGTCAGAGAGCTAATGGGAAGGCCTTGTAGACTTCAGTAAGGACTTTTATGCTAAAGGCGATGGGAAGCCACTGGAGTGATATGATCTGATTTACATTTTAAGGGGATCAATCCGGCTGCTCTGTTGAGAACAGTCAGCAGGGGGGCAAAGGATGAAGCAAAGAGGAGGCCTTTATAATAACTCAGATCTGAGGTAATGGTGGCTGGTACCAGGATGGTAGTGGTAAATGTGATAAGTCATCAGTTTCAGGATATATTTTGAAGATAGAGCCAATAGGGTTTGGTATGGATTGGATATGGGATGAGAGAGAGGAGAGCTGAGAATGACTCAAAGGGATTTGGCCTGAGCCACAGGAAAGGTCGAGTTGTCATTTATGAACTGAGGCAGACTATGTGGGGAGTCGGTGGTGAGGGAATTAAGTTTTGGACATGTTAAGTTCGAGATGTCTAGTGGACACCCAAATGGAGAGGTTAAGTAGGTAGGTGGATACAAATGTGGAATTTAGGGGAATCAGTCCAGGTTGGAGGTATAATTGTAGGAGTTATTTGCATGCAGTTGGCCCTTCCAAAAGCCTGTCCTTGAGTGGGCTGGAAACACGGTCACTGATTATGCCAGGGAGATTGCTTTCTGGCAAAGCCTAATCCTTCCGCCTTCCCCTCTGTCCCCCAAGGAGAGAAGATGGGGCTCTCGATCTTTGCCCTGCTGACCCTTACTGTGTTCCTGCTGCTGCTGGCAGACAAAGTGCCTGAGACCTCCCTGTCTGTCCCCATCATTATCAAATACCTCATGTTTACCATGGTCCTCGTCACCTTCTCAGTCATCCTTAGCGTCGTAGTCCTCAACCTGCACCATCGCTCACCCCACACCCACCAAATGCCCCTGTGGGTCCGTCAGGTAAGAAGATCTCCTTTCCAACCTGTGTTAACTCTCAATCCTAGTATTTGGCTTTTTGTCCAGGTATCGCTCCTCCCTCCCACCGACTTCAACCTTCCCTTTCACAGACCTGAGGGAGAACTACAACTCCTGGTAGAGTGTCAAAGTGCCAAGGTCTTTGGGTGTTGAAATGTTGCCCAATTAATTTTATCCTCCCATCATTAACATTGCGTAGATCCCAGACTCTTTTCATCAATACTGCCCATCGTGGGTCCCAAGGAAGCATTCTAAGGGTTAGGTACTATCAGGGTGGAAGCCCTCAGAACTTTTCTTTCCGGTCAGGATGCCTCCTAACCCACTTAAGAACTCTTGGGCTGTGTAGTTGCATTTCATCTGTGGGACGCATGCACGCATGCGCAGGAATGGGCACGTGCCGTGGGGGTGGTTGGCGGCTTCCCTTCTGGTCTGAGAGCATAAGAGCCCCCTCCAATACGCCTCTTCTTCTACTCTGCAGATCTTTATCCACAAACTCCCTCCGTATCTGGGTCTGAAGAGACCCAAACCTGAGAGAGACCAGATACCGGAGCCACCTCCTATACCTCTCAGGGATTCTCCAGGAAGTGGCTGGGGTCGGGGAACAGATGAATATTTCATCCGCAAGCCACCAAATGATTTTCTCTTCCCCAAACCCAACAGGTAGTATCTACTCCCCATCGCCCACGTGGAAGGGAGAGGGAGAACTACACTTCCCAGGAGACTGTGCGGAGGCAGGCGTCCTAAGCTCCCGGAGGATGTCGTGGTTGAGCATCATGGGACTTGTAGTATCCCTTCTGTTGCCCACTTTGCGGGGAGGTGGGAACTAAAGGGAATAGGAGGAATTGCGGAAGGCTAGAGAGGTCGCCGCTGTCGGAGAGAACCTGAAGTGCTCTCTCACGTTTTGAAACCTGGATGGGCGTTGGAGGAGGGAGTTGGGGCGGGGCCTAGAGCACCCGCGCAGGCCGTCTTTGCGCCCCGGTCGTGGCCAAACAGACTCGCCTCTTCCAGGTTCCAGCCTGAACTGTCTGCCCCGGACCTGCGGCGATTTACCGATGGTCCCAACCGGGCTGTGGGCCTGCCTCCCGAGCTACGGGAGGTCGTTTCCTCAATCAGCTACATCGCTCAACAGCTGCAGGAACAGGAGGACCACGACGCGGTGAGTCCGAAGAGGGTGGGCCGAGGCAAGGCCTGGGAGGCCTTGGCTCCACCCACAAACTTAGGCTCCGCCCCCAGCACTCGATTTTATTTCTGATTGGAAGTTTGCCTCACTTGGTCCCGCCCCCTGGTTTCCGACTTGTTCTTTACTCACCTCCGTCGCCCGCAGTTTCGCTCTCTGCTATTCTGCGGGCCCGCCCTTGACTCAAAGCCGTGGTAGGAGGATCTGGGTGCGGTACAGGGCCTTGGGGCCGCCTTCCCTGGGGGTCTGGAGCTCAGGAACATTTTCCTCTTCCTACCCCCAGCTGAAGGAGGACTGGCAGTTTGTGGCCATGGTGGTGGACCGCCTCTTCCTGTGGACCTTCATCATCTTCACGAGCGTCGGGACCCTCGTCATCTTTCTGGACGCCACGTACCACTTGCCCCCTCCCGACCCCTTTCCTTGAGGACGAGAGGGCCGAGACCGAGGTTCTCGGCCAGTTGAATTGAGAGTTTGGTAGTACTCTCAAGTCCCATCCCTTTCTGCATCTTAACTCCTTCACTAGGAGTCCAATCCTCTCATCATTTCGTTTCTAGGGAGGAAGCCCAAGTGGGATTGGGCAGATGGGGGCCTTGGGCCCACCTGAAATGCACTATCCGATTATTTACTCTTTGGCTTCTTGAAGAAGCTCCATTGGATATTCACATCTAGGTTGGCAATGAATGGAACAAAGAACAAGAACTAGATTGTAAGCCTTCTGAGGGCAGGAACTATGTCTGTTCACTGTAATATCCCCAGCACCTAGCACAGATCCTAACCTATACAGCCAGTACCTCTGGTTGAATGAATAGGGAAATTTTTTTTCTGTAAGGAAGTACACTAAGTAATAGTGTTTATGTTTGCATGTTGGGACTAGTGGTCGTTTTTTCTTTGTTTTTACCTTTCTGTAGTTTATTGTATTTTGTAATATGTATTATCTTTAGGATAAAAAAAAGGTTATTTCTAAAAGGATGCATTTGTAATGAGGATAAAAAAAGCACACTGCAAAAACCTTAAGTTCCAGCTTTGGTGCTCAAACTTTGGACAAGCTACTAAACTGCCCTGTGCCTCAGTTTCCCCATCTGTAAAATGAAGCTAATAATAATATCTGCTCCCTAGTCTGAGGATCATATGAGAAGATGAGAACAAAAGCATTATACAGTATACATCAGAGGTTACAAACTGGTGTGTTTCGTTTGGCCCATGTTGTTGGCCAGCAGAATTTAAAATTTGAATTGGTTTGCTACTTTTAAAATGTGGATATTTCACAGAGAAATTTGGATTTCTGGCTTCTCTTGAAACTTTTTAAGAACTACAGTAGCACCAGGTCTGATTCCCCTGTTGGCAGCAACCTGCTAGAGCTGATTAGTGGCTGCCCACTCTGGTCAAGGTATTTGTATCAGAATTCCTCCAAGGCCCCACCCACCTAACCACTCATTTTACTTGCCCATGCCTGCATAACACTAGACAAAATACAGGGGAGGGGAGGAGGGACAGGGAGTTGAAGCCCGTGGGAGGCCAGGAGTGGAACAAGAAAGGGTGTTGGTGTCTCTTATGGCCATCACACACTTTGTGCCTGTTTCCTTTCAGTTTGGAGAAAGGGCTTCATCTGGGAGATGAAGATCTTGTGCCCAGCAGGCTCTGTGAACTGGACTGCGTTAATGTTTCTGCCTGGAGGTCAGAGCAAAGTCAGCTTTAGCCTAGTGGCTGCAGCAATTACAGTGAAGTACCTAGGGCCAACAGGCTCTCACGCCTACTCAATTGCTGGAAGTTTGTGTCCTAAGAGGGAGAATAGGGCTACAACTTGTAGGGATCCCTGTGGGACAAGGTTAGCATGTCCCTGTCCAGCCAGACCCACCAGCCACGCCAATAATTGCACCTGGCATCCCACTGCGGAGCACAGTTCGTTTGTCTTGTTGGTTTATTGGCCTAGAGAGTTGGACACACACACAAATGCGGAGATAAATATTGGTCAGTTTCTCTAAATCTGGGTCCTCACTACGTATAGAGCTAGAGTCTGTAGAATTCTAAATCTTGCGTGCTGTGGCACAGAACCAGTGGCCTTCCCACTCCACCATCACCCTTCTTCCCAGGGAACATGGGGAAAGAGGGCACAAACTGACAAGACTTAATAATTTTCAAAAGACAAAATTGCAAAATCCCAAATTTCCAACATGTGAAATTCACAATATTCAAGTTCCCCAACTCCGATACATGTATTTTAATCGCCATTTCGCCACAATCTCCTTTGTTGCCCAGAACCACCAAATTCTGGAAACTATTTTCCTAAATCATATTTTCAAAAAAATAAATGTCTACATTCTCAGTTCTCCCAAAATGTCCATGGTTTTAGAATTTTGACCTGTTCTGAAATTCAAATTCCCTGGTCCATCCTCAACCCCTTCCATCTCTGTGCCTTTTTGCCTCAGAGGAGTGCAGGTTAAGGATATAGGGGGACTGTTATCGCATCTGCCCCCTGCCTCCAAGGCCTTCCTCAGTCTCTCTTGTGGTTCCGCTGTGTATATATATATATATATATATATATATATATATATTTTATATATATAATTTGTGTGTAGATATATATGTATTCTTTATTATGTACTTTTATTCGCAGTTTTTCTAAAGTGCCAGAAACAAGATTTGTGGGGATTTTTTTTGTGATTTTTTTTTTTTTTGCATTTTTCCCCGTTTTAAACTTTTCTCCCCCTTAAAAATTGGAACTCGGTATGGTACATTCAGTAGGAAACTCTTCACTCGGACTGTGGCCAAGACCAAGAAAAGTGCAAAGAGACAGAGGAGGAGTGAAGGAGCGACACTCCTCCGTGGTTAACATTCAGGGAGCCTGTCGAAAACCTCCCCTTTCCGTATGCTGGGAGGGCGAGAAGAGGCAGGAGGTTGGTCCTGCCCCTCCCCCCAAACCCCCTCCCTCCAAAAGCCATGATCTTGCCCTTTCAGCATCAGTTGAGAGGGCAGCCATCTTGGCCCCAAAAAACAGTAGCTGAGAAAAAGGCTGCCATTTTGATGACAACTTTTCCCCTTTTTAAACTGCACTCCTCTAATTCCCATTTTTCAAATTTGCTCCCCCAAACTGGCTCTCCCCTCGTGAGCTGTTTTTTTTTTTTCTGGGGGGGGGGAGGTGGGTGGATGGAAAATGTTCATCCAATCACAGAGTGGGGAGGCCCAGTTATCAAAGAGAATTAGGAGCAAACATTTCTTCAACTCCCCCACTGGAAGGAAACATAGGGACCCCTGACCAGGGTTAACTAGTGCAAATTAGGGATTAGGGACTTATAAGGTCCCTGTACCCCATCCCTAGGCTGGGATCTTTGGGCGTGGGGAACTGAGTCAAAGATGGGGTGTAAGGTGCTATTTTGCAGGGAAAGTTGGTGGGGATACCCCAAAGCCCACCAAGGGAGTAGGATGGTTCACCAAAAACCATCTGGAGTGATTGGTGAGGGAAGTGATACTGGGGGAAAAAAGGAGGTTAAGGTAAGGATGGGAGGTCATGTGCAAATCTTGGGCTTACCCACCCATCCAACCCCCATCCATTTTTCTGGCTATTTGGTCTAGTCTGGGAGAAACCATCGGGAAAAAAAACAGGGAGAAAGTAGATTCCCTTCCCCATCCCATATAGAGCTCCTCCCTCCCGGCCCCCAAATCTGGTTTAGCCCAGAAGAGGCCATATGTAGAGGCAGGAAGAGGTGCAATCTACCTACTTCTTTTGCCTTGGAAGAGTCTGGGGCTCACGAGATTTGAGGGTCAAAGTAGGGCTGAGATTGGTGCTGCCCTGGGCTGGGAAAGTACTCAGCCATGGAACAGATAGGTAGCCCTCCCCCTAGCACCTCCTTGACCTGGATGGGAGAGGCCATCTCCAGAGTCTAGGAGTATAAGGAGGAATATGGAAGATCCAAAGGCATGGAAGCCAAGGAAGGGATGGCATCTTAATGTGAAGGAAATGGGCACAGAAACCCACCGTCGGGGAGAATGGAATCCAAAGCCATACTCCCAGGTGAGTAAGTGTCAGGTATCACAATGGTCTGGTCCAGGCCCTGGGCCACAAAGGATGGAATGTGCTGGGAAGCATCTGGGCAAGGGCTTAGAGAAAGCTTCAGAACGAGGGGGGAACATTAGGTGAGAGAGATGGTTTCCCCCTAGGTTTACGAATCAGGGGGGCAGGTTAGACATTCAGAGCTGGTGGGGGCTATGAGTAGAGATTCATTTAAGTATATTGCTCAGTTGCCCCAAGGGCTGGAGAAGGGATGGGAGCTGGCCCTGCCCCTCACGGAGGCCATTCCCTGGAGGAGAACTGAGAGGGGAACCACCAAAGATCCCTTCCCAGGTGGTGGGAAAACTACAATCTCACACAAAGCAGCCTGACCCCTGAGCTCCAGAGGCCCCCAAGTCCCTGCACAAGAGTGTGGAGGGGCTCCCAAGGGGCAGGGAGGCCAGGGAGCTGGTAGTGGCGGGGGTTCAGGGAGGGTGGCATCTAGTGAAAGGGGGGATCTGGGCCCAGAGCTCACCCCACATCTCCCTTCTGGGTTCTTTCAACCCCTGCCCTTTCCCCTTCTCCCTTAGGGGGGACTGGTGGAGGGAGAGTTGGGGGCGGTGGAGTTGGAGGGGTAGGGGGTGCTGCTTGAGGGTTGACTGCGTAGCCAAAGACCCCTGGTAGGAAGGGAAGGGCCCCCCCACCCTTCTCATCAGGTAGGACCATGTTAAGAGCAACTGGGAGAGCGGCCAAGTTGCTGAAGTTGTAAGGGTAGGCGGCAAGAAGCTGGGGCCCATAGACGAGTGGGTAGGGCTCAGGGTAGAAGGTGACTTTGGCAGCCCCCATCCCCTCCATCCGGTCCCCCCGCCCAGCCCCCACTGGCCCCTCACTCCCAGCTTTTCCCCTGCCACTGCCAGATTCCCGGCCGCTCCCGATCAGAGCCAGTGGAAATTCCTGCACAGGTGGGTATGCATAGGTACCCCCTCCTGCCACCACTGAGGGCTCCTCCCCCCCTGAGATGACAGGGTCCTGGAGCGAGGCGGTTTTGGAAGCTTCCTCAGCAGCAGCGCTCCCGCCACCCGCCTCCCCGCTGGATGAGGAGACTTGCATCTCTTGGGGAGCCTCCTCCTTGACGTCCCCGGCTCGGGTGCCAACGCAGCCCTTGGAGTAGGCAATGACAGGCGTGGGGGTACCCCCGGGCCGCTCGGCAGCATGCCTCTGCCCGTGGCGGCTCAGGGCGGCTGCCGTCTTGCACACCTTGGCGCAGTGAGGGCAGGCGAAGCGGGTGGAAGGCTTCCGTCCAGCCCGAGAGTTGTGGGAGCCCCCGCCGTGGGCCTCCTGGTGCTTGCGCAGCTTCCTCAGGGTGGCAAATGTCTGGGCACAGTCCCCGCAGCGGTGCCTCCGCTCGCCACGGGCACGCCCTGCGGGGCCCTCGGCCGCCGGGGTCTCCTCCCAGCTCCTCCGTTCCAGCTTCTGTCTCCAGCGAGGCGGCCGGCGGCCTCTGGGCATCCCGCCGCCCCCGCTGCTGCCCGGGCCTGCGGCTCCAGCCTTGCGCTTGGGCTTGTACGAGTAGTAGGGCCTCCAGAGCTGGTCCTCCCCGCCAGCCTTCGACTCCTCCTCGTCCTCCTCATCCTCCTCGTCCTCCTCCTCGTCCTCCTCTTCATCCTCCTCGTCGCTCTCCTCCATCTCCTCTCCGCTCAGCTCCCCGGGACGCAGGTCAGTTTCTGAGATGCGGCGCTTGACAATAGCCTCCTCACCGATTCGTACAGTGATCTGACACAGTGGAGGTGGAGCCTGCAGCTGAGAGGGACCCCGGCCAGGCCCTGCAGGGGGACCCCCGCCCCCGCCAAGCCCACCAGCTGGCTTGGCCGTGTAGGTCAGAGTCCTTGTGGCCCGTGGGTTCCGGCCCTTGGCCTCCTCCGTGGCTGTGGCTGGGCTGCCGGCTGGGGCTGGGCTGGCTGGGGCAGCTGCAGGCACAGGGGGAGGAGGTGGGTACTCACGTTTTTTGGGGGGCCGTGGCGGAGCAGTGTAAGTGATGACTGAGGCAGCTTGGGCCCCCCCTGTGCTGGCCGGCCCACTCCCTGCTCCACCACTGGTGCTACCCCCGTGTACAATGACAGAGGGAGCTGGGTGGGCAAAAGTGATGACAGACGGTGGGGGGCCAGGCTCTGGGGCAGGTGGGGGTCCGGGTGGTGGGCTGGCCGGCATTGCCGCAGGGGCCGGAGTGTTGAGGCTCGGAGAAAGGGGGGCCTCGGGGGCTCCCTGGCTGTAGGTCTTGTAGGGCCGCTTGGCCGCCCGCATGGGGAGCAGGCGGTACAGCTTGAGGGTATTGAGCTTGGGCTTATAGCCTCCATTGGGCGTCTTCTCACTGGCTAGGAGGCCCGGGCTAATGCCATGGAAGGCTCGCTGGTGGGTCTTCAGGTTATAGTAGGTGACAAAGGTCTCCCAGCAGAAGATGCACTGGTACCTGGGCCAGGACGGCATGGAACAGGGCAGGGCCAGAGCCAGTTGAGTCAGGGGCCGTGAAGCTACGGCCTCAGCTTCCCACGTCCTCTCCTGCCTCCACTCAGACCTTGAACTGCCCCAGCCATTTGCTCACCCTCCTTAAAGGCTGCTTTTCTCACCCTGCCAGCCTCAGAAAGGACACCAGTCCCAGTACAGTGCCCCCCACTGGCTGTGAGATGCCAGGCCTCAGCTGTTCCGTCTGTGAACTGGGAATAATCACACACCTTGCCTACCTCCCAAAGCCTTCTTCTGAAGCTCACATGACAGAAGGGGGAAATGTCTTATGAACAGGGGTGCATTACAGCTGTTGCTGGACATGCCTGAGCTCCCTAGTCCTGTCCCATGAAGCAACTTTCTCTTCCTCGGTCTCTTCCACATCACCAAGCCAGGACGTGACACCTGGAGGTGCTAATAAACATCAGCGGAAGGAAACGGGGCTGAAGGGAGGCAGAAGGGTGAGTGATGGAAAGCAGGTGAGCAGGGGCTAGTGGGTGAGCAGGCGTCTCAGGATGAGTTTCTAGGCCCCATGCTCTGCCCATTCTCTCCCTTGTCCCTGTGATCCCTGAGTGGACAAGGTCCTGTGTGACCCCTCCCCCCACCATCCCTGGCCGTGCAGGCCACTCACCTGCGTTCCCCGGTGTGCCACACCTCGTGCTTGGTACGGTACTCAGCCAGGGCGAACACCTTCTCACAGTAGCGGCAGGGGTACTTCCTCCGCCACGAGTGTACATTGCTGTGCCGCTTCAGGCTGGACAGGGTCACGTAGGAACGCTCACAGGCCGCGCACACGTACAGCACGTGGCCGCCCACCACCTTCACCACGTGCTCGGGACCACCTCGGAAGCCCACTGGTGGGGGCAGGGCTGAGGCGTCCACTCCTGAAGGGCCACTGGAGCCAGAGCCCCCGGCTCCCAGCCCTGCAGACCCCCGAGTGCTGGCCCCCCTACGACACTGTGCCTCATGGGTCTGCAGCCGCTTGGGATGGATGAAGCTTTTCCCACATCGGGGGCAGGGGAGGGGCCGCCGGGGCAGGGGAGGCTGTGAGTCAGGGGCCTGGGCCTCAGCCCTGTCACCCTCCCACTCCCCGGCTGGCCTAGGCCCAGGCCCGAAGTTGTCTTCTTCAGGCTGCGAGGTGGCCGTGGGGGCTGGGGCAGGAGGTGCCCAGGCATCACCTCCCTCCCCCAGGCCCTGCAGGCGGGAGATGCCCAGACGCCGCCCCAGAGCGCCGATCTCTGCCACGGCTGCCCCGTCCCCTCCACCACCAGGTAGTGCCAGCCGGGCACTGTAGATGAAATTGAGGACATCAGAGAAGGCAGCTGCTGGGACACCTGGCAGCTCCAGGACCCGGGGTGGGGATGAAGCGGGAGGTGAGGGTGGAGGGGGAGAGGAGGAGGAAGAGGAGGAGGAGGAAGAAGCTGTGGTGGAGGCAGGGTTGGGGGCAGAGCCCCCAGTAATTGGTGGGAGGGGCAGTGGGGCTGAAGCGAGCAGGGCCTCTCTGAAGAAGGGACTAGAAGCAGCCAGGACGCTGCGGTGAGCAGGGAACTTGGTGTCTCCGGCTATGAGGGTGACGTCACAGAAGAGGCCACGGAGCCGCTGCTCATTGAGCTGGCGCAGGACGGCGGGGGCATGGGACGGGTCTGTCACCTCTGCTGGGGGGGGCATGGCGCCAGCCTAGATGGAGGAGAAGAGGCCAGGGGAGGATCTCAGAGGCTGGGCAGAGGGCGGGGGCCTCTAAAATCAGAGGTGAGCTGGGAGGGGGTTGGGGGCTGTTGGCCAGAGACGGGTGGAAGGCTGACTGACTTCTGGTCACGGAAGTGAGGGGTTAACCTTAGCCACCCCACGTCCGGCCAGCATCCAACGCCCGTGTGTCAAACGTCGGGGGCTGGTAGAGGCCAGGAATACCTCAGGTCTTGATGAAGGTCAGGGGTCAAGACTTCCAAGCCACAGACTAGCGAGGTAAGCAATGGACACCTCTCTCCCACTGGGAGGGGGAGGGAGGCCCCACAGCCTCTGCTGACCATTTCTCAGGACTCCCCGGCCTGGACAACACGGCTGCTCTGCTGGCCTGCTGCCTCAGGCCCAGCCTCCCGCGGGGCAGACCTCTCGCACCACCTCACCTGAGAGCACAGCCAACATGGAGCAGAGCGGGGGTGGCTCAGCGAGTCCCTTCTGCCGGGCCTCTTCCCTCTGTGGGGAAACAGAAACCCCGTCCTCAATAAGGGAACCGGACGGGAGGGGACCCAGGAGGTGGGGGGTGGCGCAGTGTGCAGGGCCAACGAGGCCCAGGCTGCTCTGCAGACCCTGACCCTCCTGGGAGCCCGAGAGGTTATTTGCTGAGCTGCCTCCAGTTGGACCTAGGAGTTCACACAAATTATTGCAAAGCCTTGTGCTGCTGGCCCCCAGAAGTACAGGAACAAGATAATTTGCATATTCCCAATTTGCCTCAAAACAGTCCAGGAGCATAGTTCAATCCCGTAGGTCCAGGGAAGCCTGCTGGATCACTCTCAAGTCCCTTTGGCCCAACCTTCGGGGCTCAAAGGAAATCAAAGATTTGCATGTTGTCGTTCACTATAATAGTCTCATTTACATATCAAGATAGATTTGTTTGAGCTTTTTCATTGGACCAAGCTGCTAGATATTCAAATTAGGAGAGGACCTCTTGACATTAAATCTTAGAGGGGGTTTCTGGCCTAGGTGCCAGGTGACCACTGAAGACCACGAACTCTTGCACACGTGCCAGCTTGCTCCAATCTCTGAAGGGCACGAAAAGGCCACCAGACCGGAAGTGAGGAAGCTTGGGTCCCACTCCTTATTCTGACAGCTGGTGGCTTTAGGACTTTGGCTTAAAAAGGGGAGGGTGGGGAATGCAACCCCTATCTCACTCTTGCTGGGAGGCTCATCCAAAAGGAATAGCAGGCAGCCCAAATGTGAGCTGTGGTGGCCACTGCCCAGAAAGCACCTCACAGCCTCGGCTTCGGGGGCTAATTTTTCAGTCGAAGATATCAGTTCCAGAGCCATAAAGTAACTTAGCCAAAGACACACAGAGCTGGTCATAACAGGTGGGGCCTGTTCACAGACCCAGGCCTCTTGACCTGAGAGCAGAGCTCTCGGCCCCTCTCATGAACCCTCCATGAAGCCTGGGAGCCCTCCCCTTGCGCACGCCCTGGGTCACACAAGACCTCCGAGGTGTCCTGCGTCAGGAGTTCCTCATACAATTCCCACCCCCCCCAGAAAACGCTCTCTTCCCATTTATTACTCATACTATCTGGACTAAGTTGCCTGCCCTCCACAGCCCATTTCATGTTCCCGAAAGACTGCTCTGAGCCCTCTCCTGGAGGACGAGGAGGGTGGTAAACAGGGGTGATATTCAAAAGTTCTAACAGCCCCGACTGCCAGGCACACACCTAGGTCAAATGCCTCTCCATCAGCTGAGTTGCTGGATTGCGGGTGGGTCAGGAATCCAGGGGAAGGGGCCCCGTTCGCGGTTTGGTGTTCAGTTCTGTTTGTAAAATGGGGAAAGAGAGCAAGGCCTCCCACTCCCTTCTGTGACAGCCACCAGCCAACAGGGACCCCCAAGAGTTGATGCTTTTACTTGCATTACCCCATTTGTTCCTCATCACTACCCTAAAAGGTAGCAGTTAGCTTCTTGACTTTAAAGTGACAGGCTGAGGCTCGGAGATGCTAGGTCGCTGCCCAAGGATATATGACCAGTTAGTAGCAGGGCTGGGATCTGATCCCAGGAAGTTCGGCTCAAAAGCCTGCGTTCTTGATTATATCACATCAGGATGAAGGACATGTTTACAGCTGGGATACTGTGATATAACAAGAAATAAAGTTGACCCTTGAACAACATAGGTTTGAACTGCACAGGTCCACTTACACGTGGATTTTTTTCAATGGTAAATATGACAGCACTGCACGATCCGAGGTTGGTTGAATCCGAGGATGCGGAACCTTGTATACGGAGGCCCGATTGTAAGGCTATACTTGGATTTTCCACTGCGTGGACGGTCTGCGCCCCTAACCCGCACACTGTTCGAGGGTCAACTGTAATATATTTGGTTTTTGTCCCCATTGCTGACACAGAGCTCCTAAAACTCTTGTAATTTCCCAAGTAACAGGGGTGCTAGGAGAATCTTCTTCTAACATTTGGTCTTTGAGCCCAGTTCTTGACATTAAGCTCCTAAACTCCTTGGAATTTCCTGGGTGATAGGAGAGTCTCTTGTTCTAATGAGGCGGCTCTTGGTGGGATCCCGGATGCGGGCTGGTCACCAGAAAGACAGAGCCATGATTAGAAGTTTGGAACTTTCAGCCCCAGTCCCCCACTGCCTCTGGGGAGAGAAGAGGGCCTGGAGACTCAGGTAATAATCGATCATGCCTGTGTGATGAGGCCTCCATAAAAGTCCCTGAAATATGGGGTTCAGAGAGCTTCTGGTTGCTAAACACATCCCCATGGCGAGAGGGTAGTGCACCCCAACTTTGTGAAGACAGAAGTTCCTGTCCTCGGACCCTTCCGGACCTCGCCCTCCGTACCTCTTCATTTGGCTATTATCATATCCTTTATTATATAATAAACCAGTAAATGTAAGTATTTCCCTCAGTTCTGTAAGCCATCCTAGCAAATTATCAAGTCTGAGGACGGGGTCATGAGAAAGCCGGATGTCTTGATGGTCAGTCAGAAGTACGGGAGGTCTGGGGAATTCCCTGGTGGTCCAGTCGTTAGGACTCTGTGCTGCCACTGCAGGGGTCACGGGTTCAATCCCTGGTCGGGGAACTAAGATCCCACAGGCCACACGGCACGGCCAAAAAACTAAATAAAATAAAATAAAACTAAAAGTTTTAAAACAAAAAAAACTACAGGAGGTCTGGGCTTGCAAACTGGTATCTGAAGTGGGGGCAGTCTTGTGGGAATGAGCCCTTAACCTCTGGGATCTGATGCTATCTCCAGGCAGACAGTATCGGAATTGAACTGAATTGTAGGACACCCAGCTAGTGTCAGAGAACTGGTCAGTGTGGGGAGAAAAACCCACACATTTCGTGTCAGAAGTGTCATGAGTTGAGTGTACAGGAAAACAGTTATGTTTTTCTTTCAACAGCACCCACTAGGGCCGCCACCAGCCCATCTAGGATCTTCGTGGAAATTAGAGGAAGGGGAAAAAAATAGAGGAAAAGGCCACGCACAGCAAAGCTTGATTCTGGCCCCCACTCACCCCCTTGGCCAGGCCTGCCCACCTGCACAGCCATATGGGCTTGGGGCCTACTGAGGCATGGCTGTGTGCTGACTGCCAAGATATTTGGACAAGGCCTATCAAGGCTTTTTAGAACCACAGAGGTCCAAGGCTGGCCTGGCCCTTGGAGATCATTTAGAACCATCATCATCATGGTACTTGGAGCTGCCATTGATGAGAAAAATATTATGTGCCAAATCCAGTGCTAAGCATTTTATCTGCATTATCTCAACACTCAAAAGGACCACAGTGAGGCAGGGGCTAGTGTCAAACCCATTTTACAGATGAGGAAACTGAGGCTTTAAATACTCTAGACACCTCACTTGCAGGTAGAGAGAACGTAGTGACAGGGTGATTTGCCCCTGGTCTCACTGCTAACCAAGCTGGGTTTGGACCCTGCTCTCCTGAGTTCAACTGCCCCACCAGAGGCCACTGCCCTGCAAGGGTTTATGGGAGGTGGAGAAGACACTAGTTATGGGACCCTGGGCAAGTTACTTAACCTCTCTGTATGTCAGTTTCCTTGTCAATGAGGTGGGGATAATGAGAAGCGCCCACTACATAGGGTTGTAAAGAATAAACGAGCTGATGACTGGCAGTACGTAGAAGAGTGCCTGCCATGCAGCAAATGCTCAGGAAGTGCTAGCTCTAATTATCATCTTGGAACTCAGTCCCGGAAAATGGTGGGGGGAAGTGGTGAAGAAAAAGGGGCAGAAATCAGGCTTCAGGGTAGGTTTGATGGCTCTGTGGTTTTTAGTTTGTTTTTACCATTTCTCTACTCTTAACTGGCTGTGTGATCTTAGAGGTGTTGACTGAGGTGCAGATCTGAGGGCTGCCACCAGATACACTCCACCTCTTGCTGTTCCCTCTGCCTGGAATGTTCTTTCCTCAGGTAGCCTCATGCCTTGCTGCCCCACCTCCTTTAAGCCTTGACTCAAAAGTCACCTTCCCCCAAGGCCCTCCCTGGCCGCCCCGTACCTCCCCAAACTCCCTATCCCTCTCCCCTACTTTATTTTCCTCCTTGGCATTTAGTAAGACATACTGTTCATTCATCGCTAGACTGCAAGCTCCAGGGGAGGGAGAGATTTTTCTCTGCTTTGTTCACTGCTACCTCCAGTGCTTAGAACAGTGCCTGATACATAGTGGGAGATCAAAAACATTTGGGGTAAATGAATGAACCTGCTTTCTTCAAGTCGTCCTGGAGTGTGTCCACTTTCAGGAAGGACGCCATCCTCAGTCCTGGCCTGACTTGGCCAGGAGCTGGGGGTGGCGAGCGTAACTTGACCACTTCCAGGGTGCTCACGCTTTGCCTGATTTATCTCCAGGGCTTTACAGGCGTTGCCTCATTTAATGGTTTCCTCAGCCACCCAAAGTTGGCATTTATTTTATCCCAATTTTACAGATGAGGAAACTGAAGCTCACAGAGGGATATACCTTGCTCAAGGTCACACAGCTTGTGAGCAGCAGAGTCAAAATTCAAATCCAGGCCTGTGTGAACCCAGATGCAGGGTCCTTCCCTCTGCCACACTGCCGGGGCCAGCGGGCTACCGAAATCACCACGCGAGGTCTCACGTGCTAAGTGATAACTGTGTCATATCTGACTCCACCCTTTCCCTCACTCTCCACATCCAGCAGCCACTGAGTCTGGTCAAATATGCAACCCAGTTTTTTTTGTTTTTTGTTTTCTTTTTTGGCCATGCTGTGCGGCTTAGGGGATTTTAGTTTCCTGACCAGGGATCGAACCTGGGCCCTCAGCAGTGAGAGTGTGGAGTCCTAACCACTAGACTGCCAGGGAATTCCCTGTGGCCCAGCTTGGGAATGGCTCTGGAAACCTTCCCTCTAACCTGCCTCTGGCCCCCAAACTAGCTCAGGGCCTTGTTAACACTCATGGTCCAAGGCCATGGCCTCCCAGCTCGTCCCCTGCTTCTGGTCTTAGCTTCCACCATCCAGCCTTCCTCTCACTGAGGATCAACGGCCCCAAAGCAGCTCAGGTGGCATCGCTCCTGGGCTCAGAAACCTTCTCGGGCCTCCACTCCGGAATAAAGCTCAAATTCCTCAGCTGAGCATTCGAGTCTAATTCCCATCTTCCTCTCTATTCTTGCGTTGCATGAGTCTCCCCTTAAGCACACGCTGTGCTCTCCATCCCCAGCAGTCCCACACCTCCATGCCCTCGCCCATGCTGGTTCTCCTGCTAGAAATACAACCTTCCCCCCAGCCTCTTCCCCAAATCCCTCCAAAATGTTAAGATCTACCTCAAATGCCATCTTCCTCTTGGCCCTCCCTGACCCTCAGGACAAGAACAATCTCTCCTTTGCCTGGTTCATCAACGTTTTGTGCTCCTGTGGCCAGTATCCAGCAGTGGATGCTAGGTTCTCCCTCCCAGGCTGAGACTTCCTAAGTCACTGTTTAAACACACCAGTCTTCTGAAATGGACTGGTGCAGGTGTTAAGTTCTGCAGAAATTGGGCAGAAGTGCGTGTGTGTTTGGCGGGGGTGGTGCACAGAGAGGCCCACAGAAAGCTTCAAAAGGGCAGTAGAGGACACATATAAAGAGCACATGATCTGGAATCAGACTGGCTGGGTTCAAATCCAGCTTTACTTCTTACTAGCTAAGTGGCTTTGGGCAAATTACCTCCCTGGGCCTCGGCTGGCTCATTTGAAAAAGGGAGGTACTTAGAACTCCTACTTCCACGCGGCGCTGGGAGGACTAAATGAGTGACCATACGTAAAAGCACTGAGGACAGTGCCTGGTGCACAGTGTTAAATAAGTGTTTACTGTTGTTATTAACCAAGCCCCAGGAAGGGGCTCAGTGCTGGCAGAGGGCTGACAGTGGCTGGCACAGGCATAGTCCCCAGACTGTAGCTACTTTCCAGGTATGTTTTCCATGTGCTACCTACCTACAGCCCTGTTGGAAGACGGACAGGGCAGGTGATTAGCCCCATTTTAAAGATGAGGAACTGAGGCTCACTTAGGGAAGGTGCCAGCGAGGAAGGGGTAGGGCCCGAACTCCTCAGTTCTAGTCTAGGCCTCCTTGCCCTCCACCAGGCCGTGGTGCACCTGTTGTGCAGGCCTGACATAGCCAGCACGCCCCCACGCAGTGGGGGGGGCCTGGCCGTAGTGCCCTCCCTGCCCCCATGCACATGCACCCTCCCCGCCAGGCCAGGGGCAGACCACAGTGATATGTACACTTGGAACACACACACACACACACACACACACACACACACACACCCCTACAGAAGGGCCTGGGCCCCAAAGGTGAGGAAAACCTGTTCTGAGGAATCTGCCTAGTGAGCAAATTCCATTCCCAGACCCTTCCACGGTCGCAGGAGGGGCCCAGTGTGCATCACAGAAGAGACAGAATAGCAGAGATCCCTGCAAGGGGGCAGAGAGAGGGTTGAAGCAGGAGGAGACTGAAAACTTCATGTTTCTTTTTTCCATTTCAGTGACAAGAGTCACACCCGGCCTTTACATAAACATGGCCAAGGAGCTGCTCTGTCCAAGTTGAGTTTCCTCGCAGCCGCCAGGCCTCTCCACCCGGTGACCCTGACGCGCTGGGCGGGCCGGCGAGGGGCTAGCGCACAGACCCTGCACAGACTAGCTGGGTTGCCCGACAACACCCAGGCCTCCCGCCTGCTTCCCTTGCTCTGCCCCATATTTATCTCCCCTCCTTCTTCATAACATATCCCCACAGCAGCCCCACACGGCCACTCCAACACGCAGAGGCAGGCACGCACGCACAGCTCACGGCTGATCTCCAGAGTCCGAGGCCCACACGGCCCTTGTCACGCCATCGCCCTCCCCACAAGTGTTTTCTGACCAGCTTGCTTCCCAGCCCAACAGCACAGATGGGCTCCCACAAACGACGTCACAAAAGAATCCCGTAGGGAATGTCGCAAACACACAACCTTCCCCTCGCTCGGCTGCCCCCCCATCCCATAAACACAACCTGCATGTTCCACCCAGGGCCCCTCACACTGGTGCCAGCCGCCCTAGGGGTACCTGAGACACACCCTGGGGCTTCTCACTTCCTGCACGACCCGCGGGACCTGAGTTCTAGACATGCCTCCCCCCGCGCCCTCCCTCCCCTGTGCCACCTGATCGTCACATGGACCCAAGAACCCATCCAGCGGGCCATCCTCTCCGAGACTGGACCACACCTCAGCGGGGCCGCATGAACGGGACCGGACCCGACACCTTCCCACTCAGACTCAAGGGTACACAACTGCCCTCTCCAGCTGGGCACACAACACCCTGCACTCCGGCGCCCTCCACAGCACTTAGCCCTCGCCAGCTACGCAGAAAACAACAGTTCCCAAATAGTTCATATGTGCAGCGCCAGACACATATGTGCAAGAAAACACACGCCGGTGTAAAACATAAAACCCCACACCTAACAAACTCCGCCGGTACTGTGCCCGGCTTCAAATGCGGACCTGTCACCCAAAGCCACAGGGCCACATCTTGTAATTCTGCCCCACAACACTGGACTCTCTCTGTCTGGCTTTCTGTCCCCATAGCCCGGGAGAGCCCTGCAGGACCCCTGGCTGCCGCACCAGCCAACAGTGGTGACCAGGAGAGGTTTACCTTGCCCCACAACACAGGAGGAGACACACAAGCTCCAGGACTCACAGCCACAACCCTGCCCCGACGGCGCGGCGGCTCCGGGTCGCCTGCTCGCCCTGCGCACCCCGCACACCCCAACTCTAGGGCACTCGGCGGCCCACCCCTCCCCCCACCCCCCTGCCTGGCTCCTACGCCATCGCCCTCCCAGCGGCTTGCAGCGCCGGCCCGGGCTCACACCCGCCCCGCCCCACCCCAACGTGCCCCACAGGGGGAGGGGGACACTGGGCTGCAGAATTAACCCTTCAAGCGGGGAATGAGCGCGGCCCTTTCCACGGCCCCAGGCGATCGCGCCCCCCGGCCGCCGCTGGGTCGGACGCCGTACCCGGGCCCCCTTAGTCGCCCCCCCCCCCAGCGCCGTGCGCGCCTGGAGGCGGGGCCAGATTCAGCCCCCGACCCCTGAGCCCCCAGGTCAACCCCAAAGGGGAGCGGTCGCGGCACGGGACGTGGCCCGGGCCCCCGCGGCACCGGGCAGCGGGGAGGGGGCCCGGCTGTTGGCTCCGGTCCGCCCTGGCCCTGCCCGGTTCGCCCCGGGGCCCACCTGACTGCGATGGCGCCGCGTCCGCCAGGCCCGACTCATCACCGTGGCCGCCACCGGCCGCTCCGGTTTCGCCCGCCTCCAGCTCCGGCTCCGGCTCCGGCCCCGGCCCCCCCAGCGCCCGGCCCCGGCCCGGCCCCGCCGCCGCCGCCGCCGCCGCCGCCGCTGACATCATCGGCTCCCCCCGCCCCGGTCCTACCCCCACCCCCCCCCCCGGAAACAGCCCCCCCCCAGCGCCGCCGCCGCCGCCGCCGCCGCCGCCGAGAGGAGGCTGGCGCAGCGCAGCAGGCACAGACACCAGGCTCCGGGCTCGGGCTCGGGGCGAGCGCGCCCGACGGCCTGCGCCCGGACCGATCCCGGGAAGGGAACGGCGCCACGCAGGGCGGCCGGACGGGTGGGCACCGAGCTAGGCGCGGGCCTGGCTGCAGCAGCAGCGGCGCGGGGCCGCACGACCACCCACTCCCTGGGAAGGGGTTCCCCCCCCCCCGCCCCCTGCACGCTCTTCACTCAGTGGTGCACACCGCCCAGAGCACGCACACCCTCTCCGCAGACACACAACGTGGCAGGCTCACAATCAGGCCCAATGGGACCCGCAGACCCAGGCTTAACACACTCAAAGGGGCAGCCCTGGAGAAACACACACACACACACACACATACACACACACACACACACACACACACACACACACACGCTCCCTCTCCAGAAATGCACAGGGCCCCCCCCGACCCCCCAGGCCGCGAGCTGGGAACGCCCCAGCCCTACAGAACAGGTACACGTAAATGGCTACCAGCGCAGATGAACACGCAGCTTGCTATTTTGTTCCCACCGGCAGAAACATCCACATGTATATACTCTGCGTAAATGCAGAGGACTTGGTGTGGACCTCCTGGGACAGCACCAACACCACCAGGTGGAAGCACACAGAGGAGAAACACATTCCTGAAACTCCAGAGGGACAGTCCCAGAGACTCCTCCCAGGTGTTCAAAAATTCAAAACTCAGGAGAAAGAGGAGCTGGCCCTCAGAGGTCCTTTCCATAAAACCTTTCGGAAATCGGGCAAGACATAAATAAATAAACTAAAAACCGAAGATATCTCATCACAGAGGTAGTTGAAAAGAGGAAAAAAAGAATCAGACAGACTTTGGAGTCACAAAAATGTAAAGCAAGCAGAGTTGGAAACATTGAGAAAATCGGCCCACCCCCACCTCAGGGAGGTTCCAGGGAAGAACTCCGCCACCCCTCCAACCAGCTCACAATGGCTGGAGCTCTGAAGGGCCCAGGGCCCCTGAGCCAGGAGGAGAGGAGGAAGTCCAAGGGAAAGATGGTGAGTGTGGGGCGCAGGGGCGCACAGCCCCCTTCCCTGTAGCTCCTGGCTGCTCCCTTCCCCCTCCTTCTCTAAAACTTCCCAGCTTTCCTAGACACCCACAAGCAAAATTCATAATGGTGTTCCCAGATGTCCCTGGAACCTGTGACATCACACAGATACACAGCATCTGAGGCCGCCTCCCCTTCCTCAAACCAACAGAGCATCCCTGGGTCCTCTTTTTCTCCTCCCGGGAACAACTTACCCAGAGAAACACGATGCTCCAGGACTGCTCACTCCCTGCTTCCTGCTTTAGAGGCTCCAGACCCACACTGTACCACCTCATCCATTTTTCAGGCCCTTTCTAGCTCCCAAGAGTTCCTCGGCAAGACAGCCTGCCCTTCTACTGCCCTACAGGGTCCCAGAACCCAGCCTGACATTCGCCCTACCCCTGGTCCCCTGGACTATGGCTGCCCTAATGCCCGCGCTCCTTTCTCCCTAACAGGCTGGCTGTCACCCCTACTTCAACCTGCCCGACTTCACCCAGCCATCACCGCCCTCCACTCCGTCCAGCCTCCCCTCGCACCAGCGCTGCCGGCCCTCTGATGTCACCAAGGGCCTGCTCGTGGCCCTGCTGGGTGGGGGCCTGCCCGCTGGCTTCGTGGGCCCCTTCTCCCGTATGGCTTACCAGGCTTCCTACTTACCCTCGTTGGAGCTGCTCATCTGTCGATGCCTCTTCCACCTCCCTATTGCCCTGCTGCTGAAACTGCGTGGTGACCCCCTCTTAGGACCTCCCGATGTCCGGGGCCGGGCCTGCCTCCATGCCCTGTTCAACGTCCTCAGCATCGGATGCGCCTACAGTGCGGTTCAGGTGGTGCCCGCTGGCAATGCTGCCACCGTCCGCAAAGGTTCTTCCACCGTCTGCTCTGCTCTCCTTGCCCTCTGCCTCGAGAGCCAGCGTCTCAGTGGCTATGACTGGTGTGGCTTGTTGGGCAGCACCCTGGGACTCATCATCATCGTGGGACCTGGACTAGGGACACTGCAGGAGGGGACCACAGGCCTCTACACTGCCCTGGGCTATGTGCTCACTTTCCTGGGTGGCCTGGCACTGTCGCTGGGCCTCTTGGTGTACCGCTCCCTGGACTTCCCCTCCTGCCTACTGACAGTGGCCTTCCTGTTTGGCTTGGTGGGGCTGGTGGGCTCCGTGCCAGGCCTCTTTCTGCTGCAGACCCCCGTGTTGCCTAATGATCCTCTGAGTTGGAGCTGTGTGGGGGCAGTGGGGATCCTCGCCCTGGTCTCCTTTGTGTCTGTCAGTTATGCGGTCACCAAGGCCCACCCTGCCCTGGTGTGTGCCATCCTGCACTCTGAGGTGGTGGTGGCTCTGATGCTGCAGTATTATGTGCTCTATGAGACCGTGGCACCTTCTGACATCATGGGGGCAGGGGTCGTGTTGGGCAGCATTGCCATCATCACCACCCAGAACCTCAGCTGTGAGAGGGAAGGTCAGGTGGAGTGAGATCGAACTTGAGAGCCTGGGGGTGGGGTGGGGGGGACTGGGTAAATAGAAGGAAAAACTGGAATACAAGCATGTGAGAACAAGTGACTGTAAAAGAACTGGTGTGGGAGAGTGACACCCCTTGGAGTCAATGGTGAATTGGGGACTCAGTGGAGAGGGATTGCCTAGAAGACTGCCTGGAAGACCTGGAACAAGCCTGGAGAGCAGGCTTGAAACAAGCCTGGAGAGCAGGAGTCTAGGCTGGGGCTTGAAGGGAGGTCTGAGGAGCAGATCAAAGTGGCTGAGGCAGGCAGGCCATGAGCCACTGGGAGGATTTTTCCCTCAGCGGCAGAGAGAAAAGCCTTGGGGCTGGAGTGTCTGGGGCTTTCAGGCAAACAGAGCAAGCAGCTGCGGTGGGGGAAGGGAGTGTGTTTTTTTTTTCTCTGAGCGATGGTTTCCCTTCCTCGTGGTTATGCCTCCCCACCTTGGGGTGGTGACGTGATATTGACATCAAACAAGGATCACTCTGAATGTGGCTGTGCAGTTGGTGTCATCTCTGCTTTGGAAGGACAGTGGAAGTCCTACCCCCTGCTCTTATTGGAGAATCCCTTGGGATCCCCGCACCACCACCCCCCGCCCCATTTTTGAAATATTCTAGAAGGGGTAGGATTTCCTAATGTTCAGAGGCATTGACCCTGAGTCCCCCAGGATTTTTGTGTCCCACCCAATGGCTAATCTGCTTTTCCTGGATTGTCGCGGTCCCGTGATCTCTCCCGGACAGTGGCCAGCGTCCTTCCGGAGAAGGCCTCTGAGCTGAGACCTCTTCGAGCGGCTCAGGTCGAGGGTCCAGAACGAGAGCTCCGTACAGCGCCCCATTAGAGGCTAGGAGATGCCCACCCGTCCCAGGAGGCCGCTCGACAGATATCAGCTACTTCCGGACAAGCAATTAGCCTCGCCATGTTGATCCTTCTTGCATATTCAGTGACATTACTGCATATTCATGACCAAGGACGGCCCCAGTACTCCCTCTCTTCGGGAACCCACTTGGGAGGATCCGACCGGCCCCGCCTCCTTCATTACCGAATCTCAGAACAGACCATTTTCCAGCGTGGGGGGGTGATATTAATCAGAAACTTTGGCGGAAGATGAAACCACACGCCAAACTAGAATAAAAGCGGCCTATATTTACCCTCGAATCTTCAAACCTTAAACTTCAGGGCGGGAGGTAGTAGCGAGGGGAGGCGGCGGGATAAAAAAATTCCCTTCCCCTTCGTCATTTCAAAAGGTGACCCAGCCAGGGAGCCGGGGAGGGAGGAACAACGACGCGAGCGCGCGCCCCGTGCACGCCGGCGCAGTCGACCCCGTAGCGCAAGGGAGGGCGGGAAAGGAAGGGGCGGGGGAATGCCAGGGCGAATCTATAAAGGGCGTCATCCGGCCAGCTCGCTCCTCAGAAGCGCCGAGAGCGCGGCCGGGACGGTTGGAGAAGAAGGTGGCTCCCGGAAGGGGGAGAGACAAACTGCCGTAACCTCTGCCGTTCAGGAGCCCGGTTACTTATTTATTCGTTACCCTTTTTCTTCTTCCTCCCCCAGAACCTTTTCCTTTCCCTTCCTCTTTTTATTTTCTTTTTGGGAGACGAAAAATCTCCGGAAAGGCGGAGGAGAGCTCCTTTCGCCCCTTTTCGTTTCCCCGCCTCCTTTCCTCCCCCACCTTTTCCTCCTCCGGCTTTTTCCTCCCAACTCGGGGAGGTCCTTCCCGGCGGCCGCCCCGACAGGGTCTGAGCGCCTAGGTGCAGGCGGCGCAGGCTTTTTGTAGTGAGGTTTGCGCCTGCGCAGCGCGCCTGCCTCCGCGATGCATGGGGGTGGCCCCCCCTCCGGGGACAGCGCATGCCCGCTGCGCACCATCAAGAGAGTGCAGTTCGGAGTCCTCAGTCCGGATGAACTGGTAAGCGGCTCTGCCCTCTCACTCCTCCTCCCGCCCGCGTGGCGGGCGGGGCTTGACGGCCGCCGCGGAAACTTGGCGCTTTTCCCTGCCCAAAGGAGGACAGGCGGGGAGGATGGGTCAGCGGCGGCAAGGCAGTGCAGAGTCCAGCCTCGCGGCCAACGAGAATTAAATTTTCCTAGGGGGTCAGCAAGCTTAGCTCTGTGTCCGAGCTGGGGGCCGGGCCGCAGGAGGGGCTGGAGGGTGAGAAGGAGGGCGAGAAGGTTGATTGGCTCCACACCGCAGATACCGACGTTAAGAGATACCACACCAATCTTTTGGGTGAGAAGCCGAGCCCCAGATTTTTTTCCCTCCCCTCTACAGTTATTAACTGAGCACCTGCTACGTGATAGACGTGACAGACGGCGGGGATGCAGAGCTGAAAAAGACAAAGACCCTGCCTTCTAGAGCACTTTCTTTGGGAAGGGTCAGGGGAGACAGACAATAAACACGAATAAATGAATGAACAAGATAATTCAGTTAAGGGCAAGTGCCTTGCAGAAAGTGAAATGGTGTAATGCGATGGAGAGTGACCGAGGTGAGGCTGCTTTAGATGGGGTGGTGTCAGGGTATGGGAAGGCCTGTTTGAGGAGGTGACATTACTCGAATGATGAGAAGCAGCCAGTCTCCTAGACCATAGATTCTAGGTCAGTAGCTTTTCAGGCAGAGGAAAGAGCAAGTGCAAAGTGCCTGAACGAGGGAATAACTTGGTGTGCCTCGGGGGCTGAAAGGTGGCCAGGGTGGCTGGGGTGTAGTGGGTGAGAAAGAGAGTATTAAACCATTCTTGGAGAAGCATGAGGTGGGGCAGTCCAGGTGGGACATTATAAATCATGGTAAGGAATCTGGATTTCATTCTATTTTCAGTAGGAAGTCATTGGAGAATTATAAGCAGGAGAGTGATATCAAGTTTACATTTTAAAAAAATTACTGCTTTGATGGTCCTGTGAAGAACTGACTGGGGAGGAGAACTGAGAATGGAAGCAGGAAAGATGAGGGAGGAGGGAGAGCTGTTGGCCCTTTGGACGCCTTTGTGGAGCAAACTGGAGGAAGCCAGTGGGCTGGAGAGAATGGAATTGAATGGCTCTGTTTGTGGATGGAGACAAGTTTGCTAGAGGAGGAGGCTCAGCTGTAGGAAAGTTGTGTCAGGAGTTAGAACCTCCCGAACTCAGACCACACCGAATAAATTCCAGATGGGGTTGAGGTTGAAATCTAAAAAACAAAACTGTAAAACACTTGAAAAATGCAGAAGGCTTTTGGGGGCTGATACCAGGGGCAGAAACCCTTAACCTTCTCTAACCCAAGTCTTGATTTTACTTCATAGCTGGTCAGTACCTGAAAGGATTAGTTTTTCTCTTTCTTGTTTCCTCAGTAGAATGTAAATTTCACGAGTGACTTTGTATTCACTTCTTTCTCCAGCATCTCAAATAGTGCCTGGCACATAATAGGCATGTACTAAAAGTTACTTGAATTAAATGAGTGAAGGAAATAATTGTACAGGTACATAAAGATACATGTGGAAGGATTTTTATTTCAACATTGTGTGAAATTATAAATCACCTAATTATTTATTAGTAAGGATTCTATTGAATAACTCAGGGTTTATTACAATAGAACAAGACCTTCCCAGTAGGTTAAACCCCCTGATCCCCTGTGCCCAAACTGCTGAGGCACCGCAGCAAACTCACAGGGGCCCAGTGAGAGATTTTAAATTTTTAAGAGAAGCACGGAAGCACAGCTGCGTTTGCCTGATGCCCTGGGAACTACTAGGTTGGGCAGTTCCCTTTCAGCATTAGGTGGCGCCAGAGCCCTTTTGATGACGTCATATCTTTGTGAAGCTGGGTTTTTAGCAGTTGCTAAATACTGGGCAAAAATCAGTGTAAAGCGAGAGATAAGAGTGGTGCTGGGGTGTGGATAAGGCCAAGAAGAGTTAGAGAATACTTTATAAAGAGGTGACATTTGAACTGGGTCTTAAAAATGAATAGAAGTTTGCTGGAAGGGCGGGCAGGGGAAGAAAAGGAATTTTGAGGAATCTCTTGTGGCTGGAGCATAAATGTTGAGGACGGGGGACCTTGGGTGTCTAACCTGTTATCACGTGGGCAGTGAGAACCAGTGTTTGGATGAAGGATTGGGGGCTAAAGTAGTTTGTGTATAATTCAAAGTATAACTTATGGTAGAGGGTTAGTCCAGAACATTCCAGGACAGCCCCTGGTCCAGTCTCAGTGCTCAGAAGCAGAGGGAGTCCTTAGAAGGTGGCTGGCTTGGTGAGCATGGACTTGGAGCAGAGGGGAGTGAAATGCTTTGAGTGTTGTTCTCCTTAGGCCTCTCTAGTGACTCTTCTGGCTGCCAGATTCAGGTCTGCGCCTGCTCTTCTGTGTTTCATTCAAGGTGAGCAAACCCCCTCTTTGTGCTTCTCATCAGACACGATGCAGCTGATGGGGTTCCAGCTTTGTGAATTTAGTCACCACAGGCCTGTCTCCCTGAGATTTCATCAGGTCATCTTGATGAGCGTGGTGGAAGTTCGGAACCTCTTAGCCTTGCACCTGTAGACCATTTTGGTTTCTACCCAGCAGTGACTAATTAGATCCATTATGAGACGATTATTCGTTTGACTGTAAGGGAACAACCTTCTATCTCTTCAAGTTCTTTTTTTTTCTTTTTATCGAGGTCTTCGAGGGCACTTCCCTGCAGTGGAGGGTCCTAAGGCAGTTTAGTTCAGTTTAACAAACAATTATTGAGAGCCATCGGGTCCAGGGTGATAGGGGAATGCTACCTGCCTGAGAGATGCTTATAATCTATGGGGAAGACAAACCCCAGTGGGTCATTTCATTGCATTATGAGATTTGCAGTGATGGAGGGATTATGGAAGCACAGAGTGGGGCTCACCAGTCTGGCTCATGAGGCTGTGGAAAGGCTTCTTGGAAGAAGCAGTGCCTGAGCTGAGTCTTCAGATAGCAGTTTGTCTTGTGGGGAGGGCATCCCAAGCAGAGATACAAAGACCCCAAGTAGTGGAGCACATATGCTGGGTAATAGGGGGGCTGCTGGGGAGTCAGCTACTGATGTGGAGGAAGAAAGGAAGGTGGAAACGTCATAAAACTCTTTGTAAGCCATCCTGCTGAATTTGGATATCATTCTGAGAACAAAAGGGTATGAAGATTAGATTTCCAAATTAGAAAGAGCACCCTGATCATAGTATGGCTGGGTAGGAGAGAAGGGCTGGTGACCCACGGAACACTTGGATACATACTACAAAGGACAGGCCTGAGCTAGGGCAGTGGGCGTAGGGATGGAGAAAAGGGGCAAGATTTAAGAACTGTTTGTTCAGGAGGTAAAATAACCTGTACATGGGCTTCCCTGGTGGTGCAGTGGTTGGGAGTCCGCCTGCCGATGCAGGGGACGCGGGCTCGTGCCCCGGTCCAGGAGGATCCCACATGCCGCGGAGCGGCTGGGCCCGTGAGCCATGGCCGCTGAGCCTGTGCGTCCGGAGCCTGTGCTCTGCAACGGGAGAGGCCACGACAGGCCCGCGTACCGCAAAAAATAACCTGTATTTGGTGAATGATTGGATAATAACAGCTGTCATATATTGAACACCTATTCCATCTTGGGTTTCAGCAGGTTAATTAAATCCTTAATGGTTATATAGATGATAAGTGATAGAACTAGAATTGCAAATTAGAGGTCTCTGACTCCAGGCCATGCTTGTTCCACTGCTTTATGACTGTGGGTAAGGAAGGGTAAGTGTTGGTTTCTGACTTGAGTTCCACTACCTTAGATGGGGACTAAAGGAAAAGGAGAGATTTTTGTGGAGAAGGGAGTTTGCTTTTAGACATGCTGGATTTGATTTATCAGGGGGATATCTACAGGGGGTTCAGTAGGTGGTTTAGTATGTTAATCCGAAGTCCAGAAGAAAGGTGAGGCCTGGAGGGTAGAGATTTGTTGTGAGTAAATAGTGAGAATCATGGCATAGCATTTGGTTGTGATGAGAAGTGTGGATGCGCTAAAACCTTGGGGAGTGGCAGTGTTTAAGGAGCAGACCAAGGCACCCCTTCCCCTTTGGAGCCGTAAGTTTGTTTTCTCTGTCTGTGAGTCTGTTTCTGTTTTGTAAATAAGTTCATTTGTATCATGTTTTAGATTCCACATGTTAGTGATGTCATATGATACTTGTCTTTGACTTCACTTAGTATCATAATCCCTAGGTTCATCCATGTTGCTGCAAATGGCATTATTTCGCTCTATTTTGTGGCTGAGTGGTATTCTGTTGTATATATGTACCACATCTCCTTTATCCATTCATCTGTCAATGGGCATTTAGGTTGCTTCCACGTCCTGG